GTTTACACTAAGCCACCTCCGAAGGGCTGATGGTTTTTTTTTATGAGAAGCTTTATTTCATGTTCGAAATACACTCGCAGAGGTGGACATTCCCTGCCGAGGGGCAACCGCAATCCGCAATTATTCATAACTTTTGCATGTTGGTGGCACTGTGATATGAACCCGAGCCTTCCGAATGTCAGTACGGAATGCTAACCACCACGGCTACCACGTCCGCCAAATACTTTCAGATAGGTCGTTTTACTGAAGCTCTCGATTAATAGACCGAAAAGGTCGCCGGTTATGTGCTCCCAAAGTAGGTTTGATTTTATCTTCCCAGGAGAGCCAACAACAGACTGCATACCTCGCAGCCTTGCGATCGACCACAACATGGGCGAGATGGGATAGATACCGAGAGATGTAGAGGGAAGCAAGACGCATTTGCAGACAAAAAAAGAAAGAGGCCGAGATGCGTGAGTATGAAGAGCTTGAGAAGCCGACTAGGGTAACGCTCGAAAGCCACCGATGCCCACAGTATATTGAATTTATGGAGGGAACACTTCTCCAACCTACTGAATAGTAGTGAAAATGGAGAGTCCGGAGATGGTGAACCCGAAAACCCAATCGATAACGATGGAACAGACGTTTCATTACCATGAAGAAGTTCGAATAGCAATCGCCCGCTTAAAAAACAACACAACGGCGGGAACTGACGGCCTAACGGCAGAGCTATTCAAACATGGCGGTGAAGAGCTAACAAGGTGCATGCATCAGCTACTTTGCAGAATATGGTGGAACGAAAGCATACCCGATGATTGGAATTTAAGTGTGCTCTGCCCAATCCATTTAAAAGGGGACACACAGTTTGCGCCAATTACAGTGGAATAAGCCTCCTTAGTATCGCCTATAAGGTCCTGTCGAGCGTATTGTGTGAAAGACTGAAGCCCACCGTTAACAAACTGATTGGACTTTATCAGTGTGGCTTCAGGCCAGGTAGGTCACCCATTGAGCAGATATTCACCATGCGCCAAATCTTGGAAAAGACCCGTGGCACACTCCTCTTCGTCGATTTTAAAGCCACCTTCGACAGCAGGAATAGGAGCTGTCTCTATGCCGCTATGTCTGAATTTGGTATCCCCGCAAAACTTATACGACTGTACAAGCTGACTCTAGACAACACCAGAAGCGCAGTCAGAATTGGGAAGGACCTTTCCGAGCCGTTCGATACCAAATGAGGTTTCAGACATGGTGACTCCTTGTCGTGTGATTTCTTCAATGTGATGCTGGAGAGAATAATAAGAGCTGCAGAGCTGATTAGAGAAGTTACAATCTTTTATAAGAGTGTACAGCTGCTGATGTATGCCGATGATTTTGACATTATTGGCTTCAACAACCGCGACGTTAGTTCTGCTTTCTCCAGACTAGATAGAGAAGGGAAGCAAATGGGTCTGGTAGTGAATGAGGGCAAGACGAAATATCTCCTGTCACCAAACAAACAGTCATCGCATTCACGACTTGGCTCCCACGTCACTTTTGACAGTCGTAGATAATTTCGTCTATCTAGGAACCAGCATCAACACCAACAATAATGTCAGCCTTTAAATCCAACGCAGAATCACTCTTGCCAACAGGTACTACTTTGGACTGAGTAGGCAATTGAAAGGTAAGTTCCTCTCCCGACGATCAAAAACCAAACTCTACAAGTCCCTCATCGTTCCCGCCCTGCTATATGGTGCGTAAGCATGGACGATGACAACATCTCATGAGTCGACGCTAGGAGTTTTCGAGGGAAAGGTTTTGCGTAAGATTTATGGTCCTTTGCGCATTGGCAACGGCGAATACCGCTGACGTTGGAACTATGTGCTGTACGAGTTATACGGCGACATTGATATAGTTCAGCGAATAAAGAAGCAGCAGCTACGCTGGCTAGGTCATATGGTCTGGATGTATGTATGTTCAGAAAGTTTTCGATGCAGTACCCGCCGCTGGAAGCAGAGGAAGGGGAGGACCTCCACTCCGTTGGAAAGCCCAAGTAGAGAACGACATGGTTGTACTTGGTATTTCCAATTGGCGCCAAACATCAAAAAGAAGAAACGAATGGCGCAATGTTGTTAAATCGGCCAAAATCGCGTAAGCGGTGTCTGCGCCAGTAAAGCAGAGGAAGAAGAGAACAGCCAAGAAGACGAAAGAAATATGAAAAATTTTATAAAGACTAAAAAACCGCTTAGAAAGCTAGCAAAAACCTTAAGCCACCTACGAGAAGTGAAACACCGCTGACACTGCCTAATGGTTCATGGGCCGGAACGGATGAAAAAAATGCGATTTGTTTTGCAGAACACCTCAGTGCGGCATTTCAACCAAATACTGTTAACAAAACTGCACCTTTGTCACCGAACCATACTGTTTCTAGAAACACTGTTACTTGTGTGAGCTAAAACCCATTACCATTACCGACTTAAATCCCAAAAAATCTCCCGGAGACGATAATATCTCACCAAAAATGCTAAAAGGGCTACTAAGTATTGCTCACGTTTTTCTTGCAAAGCTTTTTAGTGTCATTTTAATGCTAGGATATTATCCACAAATATGGAAAAAGTCGCTTATAATCATGGTAGCTAAACCAAGTAAAGATTCAACTCTGCCATCATCAAATAGACCAATCAGCTTGTTGCCTTGTCATTGAAATATTGCTAGTGCAGCTGTCAAAAATTACTCTTTTCTCCATTAAAATTCAAATCTGCCAGTTTACATTGGCTTTTAAACAAGAAGTCTGGACTTAGCCATAGCATGCATATAATGCAGCAATAAAACCGATATGGATGTACAGAATCCACTTACGGGGCACAGTTTGCGCGACTAATATAGATATAATCCAAAGGTTACAATCGAACACGATAAGAATAATAACGGACGCACCATTGTACATGCGCAATGAAAATATCCATAGGAGAAGAGATTGAAATAGCAGTCCAAAAATATATTAACAAAACTGCGTAACCCTGCGAACCCTTTGGCTAACACCTTGGCCCATGCAACAAGTCAAACCCGCCTGCGGAGAAGAGACAAAGCAGCGTTCTAAAGAGTAACATTAAGCCAGCAGCCCATTCCTGGTTTATTTTATGATTTTAGTACTTTTTGTTAGGCTTCCGATGTCGAAGCAGAGTAAAAAAAAAGAGTTGTTAGTCTAATGATAGACGCCTCTGTGTCGGCGTAAACCCAGATCAGGGGTAAAAGAGAGGAAACCTCAGTGGAGCCACTCTGATTTATTCGGTTTAAGGGTTTGCTGAAATGTAAATGCAGCGTCTGTTCACCAGAAGTGTGGCTGCGGGCGTAAGTAAGTCTTGAAGCTAGCGGCTTGGGAAATGGGATTGGGACCCACCACGTAGCAACTAGCTCCAATGGATAAAAATACGAGTTGCAGAGAACAATACAGAAGGTACAATTTTCTATAAGAGTCAACAGCTGCTGGTGTACTCCGATGATATTGACATTGGATAAGGAAGCGAAGGATATGGATCTGGTTGTGAACAAAGGCAAAACGAAATATCTCCTGTCAGTAAACAAACAGTCATCAACTTTGAAGTCGTAAATAACTTCGTCTATCTTGGAAACAGTATTAACATCAACAACATTGTCAGCCTGAAAATCCAACGCAGAATCATTCTCGCCCATATGCTATTTTGTACTGAGTAGGCAATTGAAAAGTATAATTCTGCTCCGACGAACGAAAGCCAAATTCTACAAGTCGCTAATCTGTTGAGTTGTCGTTAGGAAGAAGATTTTGCGTAAAATTTTGGTTTTCTACGAGATGGGAACGATGAAAAGGATACTCCAGATTATAAATTTTACGATGCAGAACCCGCCGGTGGAAGCAGAGGAAGAGGAAGACCTCCACTTCGTTGGTAAGTTCAAGTAGAGAAGGATCTGGCGCCAAATAATAAAAAAAAAGAAAAAACGAAGAATGTTTTCCTGTAATTAAGAATCACAAATCAATAGAATATGGTCAGACCAAACTTTGGATACCCCACAGCATGCCCGAAATATCCTGGGCTAAGTCTTTTTAATAACTCATATAACGTATTATCTAGCGTATTATGTGAAAGATTACACCTCACTGTCAACAAAGTAATCGGACATCATCAAATCCACCATTACCAGATATTTATAACTGATCATACGTATGTATGTTAGCTCCGCTGATAGGTCTTTACATAATCGCTTCGAATTCAACTTTTTACTCCACGCATGTGCACAAGATTAGCCGCAGAAGGTACAAAGAAAATACTAGAAACTATTGCGGGGATACTAAAAAAAATGCAATAAATTCAGTAATCGATTTTTATAAAAACAATTTTCTAATAAATAAAAAGTTCACATCACATGTTTTTATATTTACGACTCAACTTAGATTTATTTTAGTAAGAAGATAAGTACGGGCGTGAATAATATATTTAACATTATACGAGCGTGCAAACTAATTTATTACCATGTACATTTTAACATCAGATGTACGCATTTGGCAAAAACAAACAAAAATTTTCACTGTTCCACTTTCTATCAAACATTAGAGTGTCCCCAAAAGAGAGCACGCACTTAGCAGCAGAGCCTTATCAATATTCAAAGAGTAATAGATGGTAAGAGCGTACTGCTGGTAGTAAGAGAATCAACATATGTATGTACGTACGTATGATATTTTGCGCAAAAGAATTTTGATAAAATTACTCCATATTCACACACCCCTAAAATAATACAATCAAAATGTCAAATATTTTTTCTGCCACAAATGAAATGACATTTGCTGGTAAACATGTGCAAACGTCAATCACAATCTTTATGAATAATGATAACGGTACTAAATTTAAAAGAAACTAATTCCATTAAATGTATTTATTATGTCAGTACACTTATATGCTCTGCTTGCAACATTTCTTTTTGTGATAAGATAGTCAAGTTCGAACTGACCACAAAATTTAGTATTATTTATTATCATTAGCCAGAATATATACAATGCCATTGACTTAAAGTTATGTTTGTATGTATGTATGTATGTATGTAGTAAGATCTGCGTACGGACCTAAGAGAAATTGCAAGTATAATTTCTGTATATAAATCAATGTATTTTGCACTGTTAGAGGCATAGGTACTTTGGTATACCATTGGAACAATCAACAATGAAGACCGTCGTGGTTTTACTACTCGGAGTTGCTGCCGGTAAATTATACCACGTAAAAATTGTATAGAATATTTTCATTAATCGTTTATTTTTCAACACAAAGTTTCGGCTATACCCATTGATGAGGAGCGGCAATCCGGTGAGAATGGCTGGTATGTACCACAGGCGGATGGATCCTTCGAATGGATGACAGTTGAAGAAGTTGATGCATTGCGTAATGCTCCTACCGGTCGTGCCGCCGCTAATGTTTACTTCCACCTGTACACTAGTGAGAATCCAACCAATGCAGATCTACTCGTTACCGGTGATGTTCAGTCCTTAAGTACATCTCATTTCAACAAATTTAATCCAACTAAAATCGTTATTCACGGTTGGCAATCGGACTCTGACTCCGATTTAAATCCATTGATTCGTGATGCTTACCTGTCCAAGGGTGATTTTAACGTCATTTCTGTCGATTGGAGCGACAAGGCACAAACTCTGAACTACGCAGCCTCCGTATTGCGTGTGGCTGGTGTTGGTAAACAAGTAGCTGGTTTAATTGATTTCATGTACCAGGAAGGTGGTCTTTCTTTTGAAGACGTGCATTTGATTGGTCACAGTTTGGGCGCTCACGTATCCGGTTATGCTGGCAAGAATGTGAAATATGGACGTATTCAACAAATTACTGGTTTGGATCCTGCTTTACCTATGTTCAGTTACGACAAACCTGCTGAACGCTTGAACCAAAATGATGCCTACTATGTTGAGTCCATACAAACCTGTGGTGGTCTCTTGGGTTTCTTGAAGCCTATCGGTAAATCTGCCTTCTACCCCAATGGTGGTAAAAGCCAACCTGGCTGTGGTCTCGATCTTGCCGGCTCATGTGCCCATTCACGCTCGTGGATCTACTATGCTGAAGCTATTGAAAACAACAATTTCCCATCGATGAAGTGTGAGGATTATGAGACTGCTGTTGAAAAGAATTGTGGTAAGACATACTCATCTGTTCGTATGGCATCTACCAGCAATCACGTTAGCGCCTCTGGTGAGTACTATACTCCAGTAAACAAGAAGGCTCCCTTCGGCAAAGGAAACTAATTTTTTTTTGTTTGATTTTGAAATTTAGTGTAACAAATACAAATGTCTATACGCATCATAAGGAAATAAACAATTTAATACAACTAAAGCATTGACTATTGTGTTGTTACGAATATGTCGTTTCTGATTAATCTAATCTGTATGTTCATCATTGAGTTGAGTTTTTATGTAAAAATGAGACGAAATATCGCCTGTCTTTAAAGAAACAGTCAGCGCATTCACGCCTTGGCTCTACTCCGTTAGAAGACATGCCCTGCGAAACCTAGTAGTCGTTCTCCACCTATCCTTTTAACGAACTGGAAGTCTTCATCTTCCTCTGCTTCCGACAGTGGGTGCTGCAACGAAGGTAGAGTGATTTTATTAATTCTGACGACAGAATCTAGCCATCTTAGTCGCTGTCTCTTTGTCCGCTGAACTATCTTAATGCCGTCGTATATCTCGGACAGCTCATCGGTCTATTGGTTGCGGTTTTAGTCATCGTGAGAGAACTTTACTTTCGAATTGCCTTCTTAATATGAAATAACATGTGATATTATTATTAATATTAATGCTGGTGACTAGCTCGCCGAAATTATTTAGCTCTTCAAAGTTCTGATTGTGAAGGCGAAATAATTTATTTTGCCCGCGTTCACTGTCAGACCCATTTGCTTTGCTTCTTTGGGAAAGCAGAACGCGTCGATATTATATGTTCATCATATTCGGATTGGAACTTCACCTTCTTCATTATAGATCGGGCATTTCGGTTCATCCCGTCCTGGTGCCGCACTTTCACTGTCATTAAGCTGCCTGATTACCTGCTTGGTTCCTGTTTGATTATGATTCGTTCTTGAAACTTTCTGCAAGACGCCACATCTTTTCATAGAATTTTCGAGCATTACGCCTGTCGGTTAGCTTCTCAAGCTCGTATTTATATATTTGTCCGCAAATAAATCTTACTTACTTTTGCAGCCTTTGGTATTTATTCCATCCCGCATGCGTCATAGTCAGTCGCAACGTTGTGATCTCTTTTCCGAAACTCAATTGTTTTTATAGCGATGTTAGGCGTTCTCTACTGCACAGAAGTGAGTGTGTATCTTCGCCACGACAAGATAGTGATTCAAACCGATTTTAGGTCTTCGGGCTTGCATTAAGATAATTGCAATAAAATCTTTAGCTGCATTATTTCATAAAATAACAGATACAATAAGGAAGTAAGAAATGCATTCACATTCTTAAATGCTCATCTGCATAAATCCACCTGTTGGCCAATTCTGGACGCTTCTGGTCGATCGCCTGCTTCAAGCGGTCCAGTTGTTCGCAGTAGATGGTAAAATTAAGCGTCTGGCCATATGGGAGCAGCTCATAGTGGATGATTCCCTTCCAATCCCACCAAACACACAGCAAAACCTTCCTGGCCGTCAATCCCGGCTTGGCCACTGTTGGGGACGATTCACCGGCCTTCGACCACGGCCGTATTCGCTTGATATTGCCGTATGTGATCCATTTTTGTCGCCAGTCATCATCCGCTTCAAGAATGGGTCGAGTTCGTTCCGTTTCAGCAGCATATCGCAGGCGTTGATTCGGTCCAGAAGGGTTTTTTGCGTCAAATTATGCGGCACCCAAACATCAAACTTTTTTTGTTTTGTAGGTTATGTCAAGACCTTTCAAATTATGTATAGTGTTTCCAGATACGAGCTCTGTAGCGCTTTGTACATAGCCGCGAAATTCAAAAGACAAAAGCGGGAGATATTTGACAACCTAATATTTTAACTAAACTTGGTACACAGATGCACTGGTACATTTGTTGGTCAGATCAGTCCAATATACATTTTAAGATTTGAGCTTTTAGGTCAAAAAATTGTCCCCAAAGCATCTCAAATGATGGATTACACATTTGTGCCGAAAACTATAGCAATTGGAGGCCTATAACATATAGCTTCCATACACGGATTTTTTTAGATAAGAGGTTTTTGGTCAAAACTGCATCAAAAAACCAAATAAGAGGGTGAAGTTTGTATTATAAATATATAAATAAATAAAAGTTGGCACCGAAAATCAGAGGACTATAACATATGGCTCCAACGCATTAATTTTTTTGGAGATAAGAAGCTATAGTTAAAACACCGTCAAAAAGCATTCAAGAGTAAGAAAAGTGGCTGTCCGAATTCTTCGCAAATAAGGAGGGGGGCGTCTACTAGGAAGGTATTATGAAGTTGCCGTCTAGATGGAAACAGATCATTGAACAAAACGGCGCATATTTTAACTAAATCCGATCACCGTAACACTTTTTATAAAGCATTGAATGAAAAGCAAAAAAGCGGAAGGGAGATATTTGACAACCTAATATCTGTCGCAAAGAAATTTAAAATCACTCCAAAACCAACTTCGCAGTTTGGATCGTTATCATGACAGCATTTATACGCTAGAAATATAAAGTGATGTGGAGAATAACTGGAGTGAAAGGATTTGTGTGTGCGAAGTCCATCTCCAACTTCTATAGTTTATGGCACATGGATAGCTCTTCTTCTTCCCGTGTGACAGCCAAAAATGTTGTGTCCCCTCTAGTTTTTAACTTTTACATATATCTCGAAACTCTCTCCTCCACCGGAAGGGGTTTCACTGATCTTATTTGCCGATGATTGCTCGATATTGTGACTTATGTTCGAAAGTAAAATGCCATCACAACGACTTTTCCCACTTCTTCACTTCGCCTTTACCCTCTTCACCAACTGGACGAAGGAGAACAGACTCGAACTCGATGTGAAAGTCGATGGCGTAAAAATTCCGAACTATAAATAACCCAAAGTCACATTTGACAGCCTGTACACTTTCACTCCGCTTAGGACTGTAATTACCACAAAGAAACGCTACTGGCAACCCACAACACAATTGGCCGGCCGATCATAGAGTATGATGCCCCAAATTTTGATGGCATACTGCCATAGCGAACAATCCAAGCTGAACCACCTCCCAGAACATCAAAAGGAACTGCAATCATCACCACCTACAGCAACTGCTGGACTGAACAATGATCGACAGGCATTAAACACCGTTCACTGAGAGTCCATGTTTTTTAGGTTTTCAGAGGATCTTTGGATTCTAGAACAAACCAAAAAACACTGTTGTAAAAATAAATTGTCATACAAATTCGCTTCCACAAGTGAACCGGCAAGTTTCAATTAAAATCTTTTGTCATAATTTATTCATGCTCATCATCGAAAATATTGAAGACTCTGTTAGCCACTGCGGCGAGTAAATCAATAGTTTCCTAATCGAGTAAAAATAAAGTTAAAAAAAGAAACATAAAAATATAAACAAGTATGCACACTTATAGATTTTATCGTTTTTTCAAGACTGTAACGCAGGTTAAAAGTAATTTTATTTACATATCTGGCCCAACAGGCAGCATAACTGGGCAGACACGGTTTGTTTTGCTTTTTATTTTTATTTTTTTATTATCTAGCTGAATGCTAAGAAATTAGGAGGCACTTATCGTAAGATAGAGAGGATGAAAAAACTTTCGTTTTTTTTTTCTTTGCAGTAAAATTATTCTTTTTATGATATGATAGCACTTGAGCCTAGCTAGACAACGCTCACGCCTTATATAGTCGACACCGCGAGTTGACTCTTCTTATCGCCGTTTCTCAAGGTGTAGGTCTTTTCCTCCTCCTGTTTCTATCGGCGGGTACTTCATATGAAGCTTTAATGGCTGGACTGTTGGCTTATGTCTCATACAGTTCTTTCTTTATTCTCTTGAAATCTCATGAATAAACATGGCAATTATTCATCACACCACCTTTACTTTAAAATTGCTTACTCAATCCAAGGAAAAACCTGTTTGAAAAAGTGTTTCTGTGTTGGATTTCAAATTATCTGCAACTACAAAACTATGAATGTCAAGGGGTGGCGGGGCAGCCAGTCATTAGGAAGATATTCGTCTCGACATAGTTATTTTAAAATTTCACTAAAAAATTTTTCTTTTCTTAATTTTCATCATTATTATTCATCTCAATGCAAAATTACAAATAATTTTAGGTTATTTAGCTACCCATACCGTAAGGGGCCTTCTTGTTGACTGGCGTATAGAAATCGCCAAAAGCATTGACATAGTTGCTAGGCGCGGCCATACGAACTGACGAGTATGTCACACCACATTTATTTCCAACAGCATTCTCGTAGTCCGAACATTTCATCGATGGAAAATCATTCTTTCGAACAGCTTCAGCATAGTAGATCCAAGAACGTCCGTGAGCGCATGAGCCGGTAAGATCGATACCACAACCGGGTTGAGTTTTACCACCGTTGGGATAGAAGGCAGACTTGCCAATTGGTTTCAAGAAACCCAAACGGCCACCACAAGTTTGTATGGATTCAACGTAAACGGCATCATCTTCATTCAAACGGGTAGCAGGTTTATCGTAATGGAAAAGGGGTAAAGCAGGATCCAAACCAGTAATTTTTTGAATACGTCCGGATGTCACATCTTTGCCAGCAAAACCAGATATTTGTGCGCCCAAACTGTGACCAATGACGTGCAATCTGTCGAAGGTGATACTGCCTTGCTGATATAAGAAATCAATCATGCCAGCAACTATTTTACCAACTTCGGGAACACGGGAAGCGGAGTAAGCGTAATTGAGACTGCTTGCATCTTTTCGCCAGTCTACGGAAATGATGTTATAATCACCCTTAGAGAGGTAAGCATCACGAATCAGAGGGTTCAATTCAGAGTCGGAGCTAGATTGCCAACCGTGTATAATAAATTTAGTTGGGTTAGCTTTGTCGAAGTGAGAAGCGCTCAGCGAGCTTGCATCTCCAGTAACGAGCACGTCGGGTGTGGTTGGATTCTGGTTGGTGTACAAGTAGAACACAACCTTCGGAGCGGCGCGACCATGTGGTACTGCCAGTAATTCCTCGGCTTCTTCTTCGTTCATCCATTTTAAAGAACCGTCCAATTGTGGTACATACCAACCACCCTCACCAGATTCGCGATCCTCACTAACGGGGATCGCAGAAGCTGTAAGTTGGAAAAATGTTTAAATTTGTTATAATTTATATAGGTTTGTGAGTACTAACCTGCAGCAAGTGCAAATAGTAAAACGACTAGACACCTCATGTTCCTCCTAACGGCAAGCTAAAGTACGAATTTTAATAAAACTGCACAATACACCAATTTATATACCAAAATCTCTTTCGCCAATTTAATATCAAATAGACTCAAACAGATANTAACGGTAAGCTAAAGTACGAATATAATAAAACTGCAAAATCCACCAATTTATATACCAAACTCTCATTCGTCAATTTAATATCAAATAGACTCAAACAGATACGCAGTTGTCTACTAATTTCTCATTAGATCATCTATAAATGACTACAGACATGTGTGTAGAAAGGAGGGTGGTTTTGCAGATATTGTTAAGAAGATAAGTTCATTGGTTCGTTGTTGAAAGTTTTCGATCACTTTTTTGACGAGTGATGAAAGCAACATTAGTACATTTGAATGTACTAAATATTACATAAACTCATATCTATAATTTTATATAGAAACAAAACTCCACATGGCGTTATTCAAAACTATAGTCTATCTTAAATTTAATATTTTTTTTATAACTTTCTTGTAGATGAAATGGTATGCTAACGTTATGGTATTCTACAATCGTATCTACAAATAAATACATACTCGTAGTGTCCCCGAAAATCATCGAAATCGGATACTTTATCAGGCAGCCCACTCCAACTATCTTTTCGGAGTTCAATTGAGTTTATGCGGCTGTTGTGTCGAGTGGATCATTACAATGATAACCCAATATTTTCCTGGGAAGCCGTATTAAACAGTGACCTGTTATTACACCTGTGGTTCTGCTAATGAAGAACAAGTCTAAAAGGATAACACTTTTTAATTTTTTCCGCTTCCAATTGTGGCCGTAATGGTCTGGTAACGTTGGATCTGATCTCATTTGGCCACCTTCCGTTGTTTTTTTCAACAAAGTTCAGTTTTAGTATACACTTTACCGTGGAAAAAGGTAAACCTGAATCGCGTGCAAGGTTATGGATAGAAGGGTTGGTGGATGGAAGAGTTCCTACTCTCGCTTGTGCAATTGACTGGGATGTTTCTGTATCTCAAGAACTCAGACTACGTCAGTTTGCATTCCGTCGAGAGTTTGTTCAGATTACTTCTATATTTTATTGTTATTTTCGATGTGGTATTGTTACACTGTAGAGATCTGATAGCAAGTTGGCGAACGAAATATATCGTAACTGACTGTTCTCCAACCGTAGATTTGGCAGTGGCCATGACTGCAAAGAGTTCTGCTTGGAAGCCGCTGCAGTGGTCTGGTCATCTCATGCTCATATTTATTGAGACCATTGGAGGTGAGTTCCATAGCCTTAGGAAGTAGTATTATCCAGCTTCTACGGCACTTATGCAAGAGATAATATTTTAGCGTACACCATACTGCAGTCTCTTCAAGTTTGAGTAGGATTCAATCTATTAGTGTTGCAGCTCGCTTGTAATTTGCGGTACAGTTTCAAAGGAAGGAATTCGAGGAGAAATGGAAATAGTTTTGAGGAATTCGATGGCAGTTCTCCTATCAAGAGAATAATAGCCGACCGTTGAGATATGAGAATTAAGGCCTCGCCTTAAATACCATCAATTTGATAACGGTCAGTAAAGAGTCATTCCGTCAAGATTTCTTATTTTTAATTTGAAATTTTTTCATAGCGTTTATTGTGGTAGTCGCCATTAAGGGTTAAAGCCTTTAGAACAGGCCTTAGACTGCAAATAGAAATAGAAAAAAAATCCAGACCCTGTTCTATTATTTAGATATCCAAAATCCCTTTAAACGATTTAATTAAATACTAGAAGCATCTTAATGTGTTGGAAGATCTCATCTCTTCTAATTTATTTTACCAACGAACTTATTCAACGGAAGTATTCCTTACTGCTGCAGCAACTCGATATTGATTCAAATATGGGATAGTAAACTTCTGCGCGGTGCTGCCAAGTTATCAGAAAGAAGACTGTCTGGAAAAACAACCCACATATAAAACAGCTATCCACTTACGAAGCACTTACGGAGCGAGGTTTACTTTTTGGTGACCTAAAGTACTTGGAGATGACACATCATCTCGTTACTGATAATACTAATTGCGGGACTCATTATTAATATAAATAACACAATTTTTTTGTTACGTTCAATAACATTTCGGCCCTGGCACAAGCGTTGTACGCTATGTCAACGGAAACCGAAAATTCTCGCTGTGGTTAAGTTCGTTGTAAAAAAGAAAAAACGCCGAAAGAAAGTTTTGAAAGAGTTGTCTTCGGTTCTACAGGACTCTTCAGGACCCCTTCATACATGATGGTGAAAAATGGGATTTTCTGTTTTAACAAGGCAGAGAGTCTTACGAAGATAATCGAAGAAAATGTTCAGAAAGTCGAAGAATTAGTACTAACTGATCGAAGAATTAAATAGTGGCAGATAGCAGAATTGTTAAAGGTTAGCAAAGAATGAGCTGGAGAAATTTCGCAAGAACATTTAAATAAGAAAAGCGTTTGTACTGCGAATGTTCACGCCGCCCGACAAGCAATGAAGATGATTTGGATGAAATTTTCATCCACATTCTAACAGTTGATGAAACTTAGATTTGTCAGTATTATCGCCAAGTCCAAACAAGAGTCGATGCAGTGGCTAAAAAAAGTTGAAAAGTCCTCCAAAAAATTCATGATGGAAAAATATGGTTAAAATCTTATGGCTACCATTTTCTGGAAAAGCGAGGGAATATTATTAATTGATTACTTACCAAAGTAAGTACAACGAAAGGCTAGTATTACGCTAAATTGTTGAGTGAGGCCCTAGAGGCAGTGGTAGAGAAGTGACGTGGTATACTAGCGCGCGGAGTGCAGTTCACACCGCTCAGGTTGCGAGAGATGCCTTAAAAGCTACTGAATTTACAGAAATCAACCATCCAACCTACAGTCCGGACCTGGCTCTCAGTGACTAGATCTACCTGACCATTTAACTTAATTAGCATGACATACAGTTGCTTGATATCCGAATGTTAGTTCTTTGTTGCAAGTATTTGGAACGATCTACAACAAATGATCAAAGACATTCGAAGTACGTTGTGCTTTAGAAAAGAACTCCTACATAACTTTGCATAATAAATTAATCTGCACACTCATTTATATATTTAAAGTCTTGTAAGTAATACTATTTATTTTTAAAAGCCTTTGTTCATGCTTAGAGAAAAGAGCGGTTTTAATGTTTAAATTAAGATGTTGATAATATGTTTTACTATAAGTTATTAAAATTAAGTTGAAATTCAAGCATTGTAAAATAGCTTATGATTCGTAATTGAATAAATAAATAAATAAATAACGATAAATTTCACGTTAAACAAAAATTTACGTTCGATTCAGTTAAAACATTTGGAAATGTTATCGAAAAACTGTCGTTAATATTAAATCGATAACAGATAATTTGAAACGGTTGCAACATTGTTTCTTTTCTTTTCGATTCGATAACATGGCGCCGAAACGAAGCAAAATCATTTTGTTAAGTAGTCGTGTCTTTCTTATATTTCATTTAATTTAGATAATATATTAGTATGGTAAAGAAAGTAATAGCTAAAGAATGATTAAAAGTTCTTAATAAATAACAAACCACTTCCGGATTCTGTACATTTATTTATACGTCTGTTAAGCGAATAAAATCTTATATTTATTAGATGGGGAAGAATTACACCCTATCGATCATAATTTTTAATTTTGGCGCTTTGTAAACGTCGAAGTGATTTTCGGCCAAACACCTTCTCCAATGCTTTCTAACAAATGGGGGGGGGGGTCTACATTACATTCTGACGCTGCTCCGAAGGGCCGATGGATTTTTATGAGGAGCATTTATTTCAAGTCAAAAATACGCTTGGACAGCTTGACATTCTCTGATGAGGGGCGACCAAAATTACAAAAGATTATTTTCTATAATTTTTAATGTTAGTCGAACCACTTGAAATGTGAGCATTTGTACGCAGTAAGTCCAGAGTTATAACAAATTTATATAAAAATAATGTACACAAAACCAAACAAATTATTTACATAAACTTTTCTCAACAATTCCTCTTTATATAAGTAGGTGAAATAGGAGGAATTTTTTTATTACATTGAAAAAAAAAAATAGTTCAGACTTCTCTATGAATTCCAGTAAGGCCATTGAAGTAGAGTAGTTGACAAATTAAAGTTAGTAATTCTGATGGTCTGGTATCCTCCGAATTATTCTGACTACGGCGTTTGAAGATGCTTCTAAATTTGTCTGAATCTTTGGAGTGCAAAATATTTTTAGCTTCTGTTTCTGGTTGAAGCTTATAAGCTAAACTAGAGATTCCACTTAGTACAAAAAGTGTTGCCTTTTTGAATATTCTTAGCTTTTTAAATTACTTTGGTGAAACAAGTCAGTTCGTTCACACAAACACATAAACCCAATGAAACCCCAAGCATGTCACTATTGGTTGTATTACGTGGGAGTAAATTAGAATTACTATTGGAATGCAGATACAGTATAACTTTTTCAAACTTTTGCTTTGGTATCATTCCTGGAATCATGGGAGTATCAATGACGAGTTGGCTTTGTCTGTTATTCGGAGGAATTTTTTTAGGATTTATTTGTATGTTTTCGGAATTTGTGTGTTCAGTAAAAAACTTTTCAATTTTTAGGACAATAATCAAAGAATTCAACTGTTGTATCACGCCCGAAATAGTCAGAAAAAAACGAAATCTACTAATAACTTCTGAAAATCTGAATCAGTAATGTTATCATCTACTCCGTCCTTGCATCGGGAACAATATATATATTTATAAATTAAACCATCCACATGACCGCGGATTTCGACTAAAACAATACAATTTATATACCTTAAATCTTTTTTTATAGAAATCAAACTTTCACCGAGTTTAAACTGATACGGTTGATAAGTTATTTTTTATATTCGAAATAAGTACTCGTATATAGGCTTCGAAATTGTTAATCAATGTTTTGATGAGTGCTTTACTAGAAAGAAAATTAAAAATATAAACATACCAACAAATACATTTCAGCACGACATTTTAAGATTGTAGCG